CCAGCACACATGCTTCCAGAAATCAATTTTTCCACCTCTGATGGTTTTATATCTCAGCGGCAGCTATTCAACAACACAGGACACTCAGATTACAGTCAAATTTACTGTGAGGCAGCATAAACACTTCTTTATCTCATTAAGCATGAATGGATTCATGAACATGAATATTCAAACATTCATATGAATATTCACAAAGTACCGCTCAGTTTCTCAACCTTTACTCTTTTCTTCTTTCTTCAGTCGCACACACACTAATCACATGCATAAACACAGGCGAGCGGGGTGTCCCTTTCTTGAGTTTCTTAACAATTACAATCAGCTCTTTCAGCAGAGATCTGCAGCGGTTCCCAGCATGCATCAGCACCTTGTGTTTGCAACTCTGCATGTGTTAGGTGTTGAAATGACGCTGTTCATCAGTGCTGTTCTGATCTCATTTTGCTCTGATTGTAGGCGAGCACCGAAGTTCAGCTGTCAGAAAAAGCAGATATTTTAATAAATCACTGAAGAGCCACTGCACAGAAACCATCTGCCTGTGTATTAATATTACAAGTCGATCCTGACAAGGCTATACACACACATTACATTAGCCCTAGTCTCACATGAAATCTGGTCCGCTTATTTGCCCCAAGAACTACCCACTTGACTGACACGTAATACGACCAATCACAGAATGTTTTTACAGTATATACAATGTCTATAGATTGGTAAATCTGAATCTGGACATAACTCTGAGAAAATGAGATATCAAGTCAATTCCATAAACCTCAAACATGGTCGTTTGGTTGGTTGGATGGATGGGTGGTTGTTTGGATGGTTGGTTAGATGGATGGATGATTTCATGGTTGGTTGGATGGATGGATGATTGAATGGTTGGTTGGTTGGATTGTTGGATGTTTGTATGTTTGGTTGGTTGGTTGGATGGATGGTTGGATGTTTGTTTGGTTGGATGAGTGGATGGATGGAGGGATGATGGAGGGATGGATGGTTGATTGGTTGTTTGGATGGATGGATGGTTGGTTGATTGAATGGATGGAAGGTTGGATGTTTGGTTGGTTGGATGGATGGTTAAAAAGGACAGTTTTTTGCATCAACAATTTTAATAATTTGGTAACACTTTATTTTGATGGTTCCTTTTGAACATTCTGTTGATAATAAGTACCGTTGCACCTACATGTCAACTAACTCTCATTAGATTATTAGTAGACTGTCCGCTTATTTTCTGCTAACTCTTTATTGTGATGGTCTCCCAACAGACATTCTACTGACTATAAGTAACTTTGCAAGTACATGTCAACTTATTCTAACCCTAACCCTACCAGTCTACTAATACTCTACTAATTCTCTAGTAAGAGTTAATATATATGTAGGTGCAACATTACTTACAGACAACAGAATGTGTTAAAGGGACCATCAAAATAAAGTGAAACCAATTATGTCACTGTATTCATGCTGTAAAAATATGTAGTGTTTTATTTTTTCCAATATTTTACTATGAAGCGCACATATGTTTTGCTCAGTATAATTTCTTCCATAAATCAGTCAATATTCAAATATAAATCAATAGTTAATATTTTTTACACCCCAATCCACACTTTTTTTTTTTGTTTTTTTTACAGTATTACTAAAACATATAAATTATTCAAATTATTTTTTCAAGAGAAAACATTTATTTTCCTGTTTAGTTCTTATGGCAAAGTAGCAGTCACATATATGATTTTATTTTACTTCAAGATGCTTTATATTATTTTTGTCGTATTTCTTTAATCTGAACTCAGCTGGCAGTGTTTAGCGTAAATTTAACTGGATGTTTTTATGGTGTGTGATCTGACAGAAAGAGTCAAGAGAAAATGGAGCTCCTTAGAACATCCACAAGACTCTGAGCAACAAAAAACATAACGGCCCAGCCATCTCATCTCACTCTCAGGCAGAAATTGAGCTCCTATCTTTTTCCCTGTTTTTTTGAGGAAGAGATTCATACATGCAGAATCTAGCGTGTCGTTTGTCTTCAGTCATGCGAAGTGCCGTCCGTCAGCTTTACTGCAGCCTGGTTTCCTCTCCGCACAGTCACGATAAATGATGGAGAACAGAAGCAAGATGAGGAAAAGAGAGAGAGAGAGGCAGGGCTGTAATGTTTCTGCACAGATATGGCTTTCAAATACTGGCTTATGTGTTGGAATTCATACGCTATCATTCAAAAATGACAAACCAAAATAATACAAGGTTCATTTATCCTGCTGTTTTGGACGGATCCTTTTTACCTCATGGTTTCTACTAGCTACGGAGGTGCAAAAACAGCCCAGCGTAAAGCAAACTATTTTACAACCAATTACATGGAAATAGCCATTACAGCATGTTGGACCTAAAAGACTCAGAGTCCATCAAATAAAACTCAAATAGCCTTGCATAGCCAGACTTTTGACTATCAGTATAAATACTAGTCCACAAAGCAGCTCATTCAAGCTCCAAAGTCACTTGTGTTGTTTTCTGTCATGAGCACACACTTTCCATAAGTAATCGCAAAATATGAACTGCAATTACAAGGCTAATCTCCTCCGTGTCTACAGGTACAATGCCAAAATTCATTCTCACACAAACTCAATTACACTAAAACTTTTCACAATCTACCAACAAACTACAAGGTGTGTCTAATTTTATGTTTCTCACAATTTTTGTTGGCTGTTGCTCATTGCTGCTCACTAATCGCTAATCAGGATAGTACACACAGTTGTCTAGTCTAGTTATCTATGCTACAATTTAGGGTGTTTTGTCTTAAAACATTAATGTACAAAAAAATGTTGTCTTATAATAAACTTTGTTTTCTCAAAAAGAGAATCAACATATGAAGCGATTAGCATTACATCCGATTAGTAATTACATCCAGTTTGAAATGCGTCATAGCATCTACAATATAATTTGGGTTTTGTCACAATCTTAAAACGAGATGTACACTTTCTGAACTGGAAGGTACGCAAATTTACTACAAAATATAAACATTCCACAATTAATCACAAAATATGAATGTGATTGCAAGGTCATTCTCCTCCTTGACTGCAGGCACAATGGAGAAATTGAAAATATGTCGTAGCATCTACGCTACAATTTGGAGCATTTTTTGCATACTTAAAACATTAACGTACGGTAGGGTTTGAACGACTTCTGATTTGTTTAAAGTCGACTTTTATGTGATGAAAGTCGAGTCGAAGTCGACTAGTCCCTGATGACGTCATTAATGAACAAATAAGTCTGGAGCTGTGATAAACAGCTTGTGCACAGCTATGGCATATGACAGCACTGCCCACATGGCTATTGCTCCTATAACAGCTCTTTGTTATCAGTTCTTTTGTCTTTGGGTCATTATATTTCTCACAGATTTCTGCTCGTTCTAAATCAGATACAGATAAAGCAGCACAGTAAAGATTACATTCATATGAATGCATTAGTGAGAGCGATTGCATGAGTGAATGAACTCTACCTGGCAGTGTCTCTCTACTAGTACTGAAGCTGTGGGATTTATTTATTAAGAAATATATTCTTGAACTTTTCAGTTTCTAAGCTATTTTATTGCGAAATCACAGAACAGTGTTGACAATACATTTCCGTGCGAGATATACGCGCTACTGTCCTATGTGTGTGCGTTACAGTGCAGCAGCACATTAGATTAGAACGGCGATTAACTTACCTGTACAATAAGCTGTTTAAAACGTGCATTCTCCCGTTCAATTTCGAGCATCCAGTAATATAATCACACATGTCTTGTAGAGCGCTTTCAGAGTATGCATTTATTTGTCATTTTAACTGTTTGGAAACGGAGCGTAAATGTGGAAGTCCTTCAAAGATTTCTAATCCTGTTGCACCCTTTATAGGACCAGCGACTAGTCGACGTCAAGCTTAAAGCTTCATGGCAGAGCACTGAAGTCGACTAGTCGATTAGTCGGTGCAACCCCTAACGTACGGATAAATGTAGGATAATGCATGTGTTGGTTTAGACAGCAAGATCAACATGTAAAGCGAAATGCATTCTCTCACAAACTCACAATACAAGTTAATTCTTGACAATCTACCAAACTACATGGAGACTGAGTTTGCATTAATTTTTGTTTATCGCAATTGGCGAGTAGGATAGTACACACATTAAATGTAGTTAAATCCAGTTTAAAATGTGCTTTGGAATCTATGCTACATTTTGAGTTGTTTCCTTTCATACTTAAAGCATTAATGGATGAGAAATTTTAATTGTATAACATATGTTTAGTTTTAGACTAGAAAGGAAACATGTAAAGCGATTAGCAGTTAACCGAAATAGGTTTTTCAATGGCTGACAATATCAGGTTGGCCGATATAATGTCGATACATGTATACCACAATTTAATGATAGACTCTTTTAACTGAACAGAGCACACAAATTCACAACAAAATGGACTTCTTATCCATCAACAAAACTGTCTGTAGAATTCAAAACTGAAAAAGTGCAAACAATCCCACAATCTTCTCAAACTTTTCCTCAGAAATGGTCATTTTAGCCACCCAGTAATTTGTAAACAGGACAAACCAATAAAACCGTGAACCATGAATTCCATAAAGCCAGCCAATCAGATTACAGCTCGACAGGCGGTGCGCGAACGACCCGTGGGCGTGTCATCTGAAGCTGATACGTGTCAGTGGGCGTGTTTGTTCTGCTCCGGCTGGGTTTGTGGGTGCGGACACATTTGGACATCACCTGGTGGCCCTGAACGGTTCAGACGAACCCCTGTAAACTCATACGGAAGCTGCTGTCTGTCAGATATGCTGATATCACTCACCTCTCTCACAGACTGTCAACGCGGCACCTTTTTTATTTCGAAATCAACTCTATTTCTTTTCTGGCACATTGGCTTTAATGTGATTTAAAGTGTAGCTGCAGGAGACGGCAGTATACTGAGGAAAAATACCGTGCCAGCACTTACATAACATCACAGAAACACAAATCACTCGCTCTGTAGGAGAGGCTGAGTTGTACTCACGGGCAGTAAATGCTTCTCGGCTCTTTAGGATGGAGGCTGCTGGTTCACAGTGAATCGTGCAGGAGACGGAGACACGTTCTCTCCCACGTCCACATTCCCCTGTCTTAATGTCTCCTCAGTGGAAAATCCCAGAACAGATTAAACTGCAATGAGAAAAACAAAGCAGAAGATAATATTTTAGGACTAATGCTACAGTATGTCATCATTTGGGTGCATTTCATTGGATTTAATTATCTTAGAATATATATTTATTAGCCACGTTTGCAAATAAACATCACTATTGGTACTATTACTCAAACTGAGGGTTAAGGATTTGAAGAAACGCCAAACTACTGAAATTTGAAACATATCTCACCCTGCATGCTACAGAAATGAATGATATCTCAAATAAAAAATGTGCTATTACTTTCCTATGTTATTGGACTTGGGTTTTTCTTCAACTATGGACACTTTTGTTCCGGTGGACTTTTAAGACAAAGTCTTAAAAATGTAATCTCACCTCAGTGTTATTTCCATCAAATCTCAAATTACATATTTTTTAAAGCATTTTGTGGTGTAAATGCATTTTAAACATTTTTGGAACAAAACGGATGATGTCTTTGCCTATTTCACAGCATTAAATGATATTTTGGACAAAATTACAGCTTGACTGGAAATGAAACACGATAAACATTGTTCACAAGTGATATTTACCCTGGTTTTGTGATATTTACCTCGATTTTACTTTGTTTTCTTCACACATCACGTCTCAAATTTCATCTCAAGCTTAATTCGGGGCAAACTTGTTGGTTGTTGTGAAAATGACAAATGAGGGACATTCGTGAGGATTTTTTTATTTGGATGTATCAAAGTTCTAAACGTTGAAGTTCATATTTTAATTGGTTTTATTGTAAAAATATAAATGATTACATTCAAGATCTAATATCTGAGAGTAAAACAACACAAAACGAAATCTTTTTCTTTTTTTTTTCTTTTTAATAAAAATCAGGCCCCAAGTTGAAGAAACACCCACATAATGACTTGCACCTGATGGATGATAAAACGTGACAATCCCATAGATTTACAAGCAAATACTCGAACCGTATCTAGTGAGCAGAATGTCACAGACTTTAATGCCTTAGGAACCACACAGACCACCCTAGCAACTGTGTTAAAAACCCCTTAGAGCAACTTAGCAACCTCATGGTGACCCAAAACAATCTTTTTTGCTGTCGAGAAAGCAGTCATAATAAAGTCCCCCAAGAAATATTTCAGCATCAAGCCTTTATTAACGCATCCGCTACATATATTTTAAATTACAGTAAGCTCCATTACATGTATCCTCACATGGCTGCAGCAGATGTGACCGTTTCTCAAGGTTTAACAGCACTCAGTCTATTTTAAATGAGACCTTATATTATATTATTATATTATAACTCATAACCCTTCCATTTGATTGGCTCTGCTGTGACCGTCCACTGCTACTGATTGCCTCCGCTGGGAGGGTCACTTTGTTTCCTCTCGGCCACACAATTAGAGTTTGCCCCTCTCTGATTGGTCACAAGGTGCGTAATACAGAAGTCGCACACATGCTGCGAGACCATCTCGGCCACCCTTCATTTTCCGAGAGAATTTTCCGCTGCAGCTTCATCTCCACCTGAATCCCACCAGCACACATCGTCAAAGCCACTTCCTGTATTGCAGCTCCCTGCACGGTGGTATTTTTAATAGCCCTGAATGTGCAGAATTTATATAATGCCAAGACTTGTTTATTACAAATTGTCGAGATATCATTATGTTCTCCACTAACTTCACAGGACAAAAATGGATTAGCAATCTATCTAGAGTTACACAAGGGTTGCGGCTCTCCCAAATGACAATTTAATGTTTAAATGAGGTTTTTGTGAAACTAAAACACCCATTTAGCTTCACAAGCAAGAGTTCCTAGGTCAACCGGCATTAATGTGCGCTGGGAAATTCATACTAAGTTCAACAGGTTATCAGTAACGCACTCTCAGCTATGTGAATGAAAGAAAATCTCATTGTAATGCTGAGAAGTATAGCATTTTTCTTAGTAAATAAAGAGCTGTTGCACAAAACACTCTATAACAGTAAAGTTAATGAAAATGCATGCTGCTTTCAAACAGAAGACTGTGGTAGCAAGCCAGAGACTACAACTAAATCATCTATGAAAATAGCCTGAATGGGTTTGAGAGAACAAAAGCAGGACTGGATTGACCATATGGGCATTTGGGCACATACCCAGTGGCACCATGTTTAAGCGGGCAACATGGGAGGCCAGAAAGATGAAAAAGATTGATAAACGATGGATAAACGCAGCTTGGAGGAAACATTATGGCTCATATTTTGCTCTTTAAGAATATGAGTTTTCAGTTATTAACTTGCTGAGCTACAAAATTAATATGAGCACAGTTTGAGATCTCTTCTAAAACTCCAAAAGCCAGATTATTAGGTGAAATTATTAAGGTCTTCAGAAAGATTTTTTTTTCCGGCCAAAATATATTTCAAATACATGCTAAATATCGATTTTATTGTAAAAACAGCTCTGATTCGAGTCCAAATAAAACAAAAGCTTTTGCTTTGCCATCAACCCTTGGAGTCTGACACAATACTTTATTTTTAAAGCAACAATTGTGCACAAAGCCACTTACAACAGATGTTCCGGCCCGAAAATATCCTGTTCTCCATATCCTGATGCGGAAATGAACCTGTGACCCGCAATAAGATCAAAGAAGCAATTACAGACTCATAAATTTACTTGTTTGCTGTGTCGAAAAGTCGAGTGGCATGCTAAGAGCCAAACCATGATCTCTGGATATTGGAAAAGCAATCAAACGGAAGACTAATTAATGAGCTTTTGAGTTATTGCTCAACTTGACACGAATCCTCACGGGAAAGGAGTTTAATCTAATGCTGAGATAAGTCATAAACATTCTTACAGACGGAAGATGCTCTCTGATCAGTCGGCACAGAGACGATTAAACGCATCAGGATATCAGATGTTTTAGGAGTTTGAAATTAAAGCTCTTGAGTTCTTGTTAGTCAGAATGCATGTGTGGCCCAATAACTTTGAGTTATGACGACCAAAAGTCATGCTATAGAGCAAATGTCAAGATTTTCTGTGAACAAGCTAAATTATAGTTTGTTCCTCACACAAAAGACTTGAAGGAATATTTCACCCAAAAATAAACATTTGCTGAAAATCTACTTACCATTAGGCCATCCAAGATGTAGACTGAGTTTGTTTCTTTATTGTTTACAAATTTGGAGAAGTGTGGCATTATATCACTCACCAATGGATCATCTGCAGTGAATGGGTGCCGTCAGAATGAGAGTCCAAACAGCTGATAAAAACACCACAAGAATCCACACCACTCCAGTCCATCAGTTAACATCTTGTGAAGCAAAAAGCTGCATGTAATAAACAAATCCATCAAGACGTTTTCAACTTTAAACCATTGCTTTTAGCTAAATATGAGTCCTTTGTCCATAATATTGCTTTCTCTTGTGAAAAAGTCATCTCATCTGAATCAAGAGAAAAAATATTTATGGATCAAGCACCGTTTACAAGCGAAAACCATTCTCAATGAATATGTGGGTGGATTTTGATGTGAGAGGACAACGGAGGATGGACTTTTTCCACTGGAGGAAGCGTTATTATAGATTATGTTCTGGTATTTTGGCCAGAAGCGAAAGTTTAAAGTTAAAACACCTTAAATAAACGCCTTAACGCTGGATTTGTTTCTTACAAACATGCAGCTTTTTTCGCTTCACAAGATGTTAATTGATGGACTGAAGTCATGTGGATTACTTGTGGATTCTTGTGATGTTTTTATCAGCTGTTTGGACTTTCATTCTGACGGCACCCATTCACTGCAGAGCATCCATTGGTGAGCAAGTGATACAATGCTACACTTCTCCAAATCTGTTCCGATGTAGATGGCCTGAGGGTGAGTAGATTTTCAGCAAATGTCCAAGATGAAGGATGAAACATATTAGATTACTTTTATGATGCTTCTGCATCATTTTTGAAGTTTAAAAGTCTCTTTTTGTTTTCTGAAAAAAGAAGGTCATACATGAAACAACATAAGAGTAAGTAAATGACAGAATATTCATTCTTATGGTGAACTGTCCCTTTAAACAGACACACACCCAGTGTAAACACACGACATCCTCATTGATCTATTTGACTGGATCTCTTTTAATTACTCAACAGCCTTATGAGCATTTCTGATCTCCCAGCTGTCCCCTGTGTCACGCACAGGAGAGTGATTACCACACACCGAGTGCCATTCGCAAGGCCGCTGAAATCAAATGACACAATTGAGAGGTATGCCACAATATTTCGGCTTTCTGCTACAAATTAGATCCTGTTAAAATACTGAGGAGAATTTAATTCCCCATCATTCCAGTTAATGGCCGCCGGCATTTTGCGGTAGGGCAGATATGAGAATTACTCCATTCTTCTTCCGCAGTTACGGCCATCTATCAGTCCGAGCATAATTATTCCCTGGGTGCCAGAAAGCTGACAGGCCTATTGCCGGCTCACTCTCCATACAATAGGGTCTAATCTTGCCAGTGAGCTGTGTGGCGAGGCGGCCTTCAGAGTCTGGCACACATGAATGGAATGGGGCGGAGCTTACAGACAAGCAGGGGAGTGTTGATTGGGCTGTCAGGCTGTGTGGGTGGAAGCTTACTATTAGATTCTCATTCATCTCAATGGCTCGGCTATCACCTGAGCTGTAAATATGACTAACCAGTCTGGAGTCACAGGAAATTATGTCATGGTGGATGGCACAATCCCAAGCCCTCAGTAGGGACTATCCTGCACTGTGACGTCAAAGCAACAGAAAGGGTAAAAGTACATTTTTTTTTCATTTATTTATTAAACATTTCATGCCTTTAAGAAGATTTTTATGTGAAAATCAGTGTTGTTTTTGTAAACTAAAACCGAAACTATTAAACAAAAGAATTTTCATTAATCAAAATAAAGCTGAAATAAAAAATAAAAAAATAAGATTTTTTAAAAAGTCTTGGCTTCTAACTGTTGAAGTACTAAAAAACAAAAAATAAGTTAAAGCTAAATGGAAAACTTTTAATGTAACAAAGGATAAAAGTCAAGCTTTCTTTAAACTTTCTTAAA